CACTGTACCACGTACGCCTGTGCGCTTTCATAACTTTTGGATGCCGAGGTCCAGAAATATTCGCGCATCCTAGCATCCATGACCAGGGACCATTTCCCGATTTAATAGCCCGTGCATGTGAACAAGGGAGTAACTTCTTTTTTGGTGTTACTGTCCATCACACCTTTATGTAGTGTGCAGTATGTTAGCTAATTGTCTGCTTGATGATTGATGTTTAAAACTATCTCATGTGATTCCCGCAAAATGTTTCAGTTTTTGTATTGTTCAAGATGCGGAAATCTTGCCTTAACGCAAATTTTCTTGGGATTTGACTCACTCTTGTATTACGGATGGTGTCTATTTCCATGTCCTAACGAGAGGAGAAGAATGGTATAACAAAGTTCTCTACCATCGGAGTCTTCATAAGGTCACATATAGAGAGGACGGAGAATAACTATGCAATCAGCAAACGCAATCGCGAGCAAACTTTTCCTCGTGTCTCGCAAACAGTAAACACTTACTATGTTCTTTCTAGCGACGGCCAAATCCGCCGAGATCCATCGCGTGTCTCAAGTGTTCCCAAGAAAGCACCCAAAAAGAATAGTTCTGTGAAGCTCTGTATTTATAAAAAAATAAGTGTATCGAAAGAAAGTTAAGTATTGCGTTTTTGATGGACCCTGGCCTACACCGGCTAAACAACGAGCTCGTGGCTCAATGTTTAGGGCATTTGACTCTGATCAAAAAGGTCGCGAGTTCGAGGCTCGAGTGGGACTGGCTGACGACGGCTTATAAGCCAGAAATGGCCATTTCAGTCTCCACTGTCTTTGCCGGCAATACTACTTGATGGGTTTCTGACGTGGATGTCAAAGTGCCACAACGAAAGCTTACAATTACTACGCTCTTGAGTAACGGGTAACACTCCTCAATATAGACGGTTAATGTTGCTCTGGCTCCGTTCACCAGGACCGGGTCATAGGAAACTCTTGTAATACAGGTGACTGTACCAATTTTCGTGGGAAATTATAATTAGGGTTACGGTCGCTGATAGGATTAGAATACGGGAATCGATTTTAGCACAATGCCACCTGTAGGGTGGGCGAACTTATTCCTCTTTCCTGCCGGGTGTGGGAGGCACATTAAAATTCCCACACACCTATCTATTAAATTATCTCGCTGAAATTTGCTTCGCCAGGTTATTTCATAAGATAGAGTCGGGCGACTTGACACATTTTACCCGCATATCTACTTATCCGACAAATATTGATTATGAATTTTCTGCTGCAAACGAAAAAAATCACTGTTCCCTATATCATGGAACTGTTTTATTCTCTTAGCTGATTCTTAACTCCATTGTAGGATTATAAATGCACCAAAGGGTCATTACGTATACCGTTGTGCTCATTCGTTACTTAAATTATATCTTAACAGGAACCAAGTAGGACATGTTTATGTTTCCATATGTTCAACCCTTTAAATACTTGTTGCGTGCTGGAGTCTTTGCAGGTACCTTTGGGATGTTTGTTGTCTCTCTGAGGATTTTTGATTGTTCTAAAATTGCAAAAATGCCCATCAGAGAATGCAGAAGAGTAGTTGGCGAGCATACGTAGGCTCTCGATAAATACTCATCGGGCCATTACATTTATATGAGAAGAGGCAAAAGGTGAACATGCAGGCCGGTACGTTAATCATTACATGCAAATTAGTCATGGAAATAGGGGAGGGAGGGAAGGAGGTTGGGGGTTGATAATAGGCGGCAGAGGGAGGGGAAGGAAGAGAGCAAGTGCAGAAAATTGCAGGCAGTTATGTGATCCTTGGCCATGCCTGTTGGGATTATTCCTAACAGGCGGCCCGAGCAAACTGTCAGGTCACGTTATCGGCCCCCTCCCTACAGATAAGGAG